ATATATATATATATATATATATATCTCAAACATTTAATGTCATTTGCATTTCTACCAATTTCTGCTTAGCTCTGTTATACTGGGATGCTTGTTTTGCAAAAAAAATTCCATATCTGCAACGGATAAATTAAATAATAATTATTATCATAACAGAACGGGATCACTCGTGTTTTTAAAATTCACCATCACAATGATCACAGTTACTATAAGTTTGTCTTTGTAATTCACCCCCTGAGGATGATCTCACAGGAGATTGAAAGTAATTGAGTAGAAAGAAACTACAAGGGAACAAGAAAGGATTATTATAAAATAGACATAATAACATGTTTGAATATCTCTCTCTCTTTCTCTCTCTCTCTCTATATATATATATATATATATATATATATTATAACTACAGTTGGAAAGAATTTATCTTAGCTTAACATAAGATAAGTCACAGCTACTTCTAAAATTAAATTAATAATAACCTAAAACTTGAAGTGAGAATTTACTGTATCACCTGTGATAATTGCCAGAAGTAATACACTGGAAAAACCTCAAGAAATGCAAATAAAAGATTATATGTTCAGAAAAGAGATATTTTGCAAAGCAACACATTAAATGTATTAATTGCTCACCGTAACAAGATTGGCGACAACATTGATATAAAAAATGTTACTCAAGTTAAAATAGAAAACAATTTATTAAGCCGAAAATATTTAGAAAGTGTTTAAGCACTTGATCATCCATAGTAAGTTTGCCTCCAGTTGCTTACAACGTTTCACCTTTCTTAACTTATTATCACAATATGGGAGACCTAATAATAAAAACAAAATAAAAAAAATAAATTAAAAATAAAATATTAATAAAATACTAAATATTAATATAAAATAAAATTAATATAAAATATAAAATACTAATAAATATAAAATAATAAAAATGAAAAATAAATAAAAAACAATGAAAAAATAAAACACGATTAAAAAATAAAAATAAAACAAAATGAAAAATTTAAAAAACAAAATAAAAAATAAACAAAAAGGAAATGAAAAAAGTAAGAATAAATAAAAACAATCTGAAAAAAGCACAAAATAAATAAAAAAGAATATGAAAAAAACTGTATGAAAAAATAAAAAATAAATAAAATGAAAAAATAAAAAATAAAATTAAAAGCTAAAAACAAAACAAAAACAAAGAAACTAAATGGAATTAACTAAATTATTTACCCAGACACAACTAGAAAAAAAAAATTAATAATTCCAACAACGTTCTAACATTTTAAGCGTTCCTATCTCTGCATAATTACAACCAACGTTTGCGTTTTTATATCCCTCCTCCTCTTCCTATGCATAGGTAATTGCATCAACAAAAACATTACTTTCGTCCGATGAAGTCGTAAATGACGAAACGCATCACACCACAAAATGTTTCTACATTGTCATTAATTTTCCTAATATCAGTGGGTTGACACATATAATTAATTGGCTAGTATCTACGAGGATTCAGAATGAAAATGTCAACTGACGTCGTTTAAATATTAACATTAAACGAAAGTAGTTGTCTCCCTCTTCTAAGGGTGTGTCGTTATTTTATTTTATTTTTTTATTATTTTATTTTTTATTTTTGCTTGACTAACGAGCCCAACATGCAAATGACGAAATAAAGAAACCAAAATCGAACAAGTGCAGCAATTTAAATATCTGTTAAGTGTTTTAACAGAGAATGGAAAGTGAGACACTAAAATCCGAAGCGATAGGCAAATATGTCTTTCAAAAGCTAAGCAGAGTATTAAGAAACAGAAAAAAAAAATTTCGTTAGAAAAGAGTAAATTGTTACTTGACATCAATCCTTCTATATGACAGTGAATTCTGGACAATCTCTTCAAAGATTTAAGAAGAGACTGGAAACAACAGAAATGTGGTTCTACAGAAGGATGCTGAGGATAATATGGACCGAATATGTAAGCATCCGCAAAGTTTTAGACAAAATGGAAACAAAAAAGAAAGTTATACTTAACATAAGTTACGGACAGTTGAAATTTTTTAAGGCGCAGAATGAGGAAAGTGGGCTTGGAAAATCTGAACTCACAGGACAGATTGAAGGCAATAGGGACAGAGGAAAACAACGCATAACATACCGAACAAGCTTGAGTAAATGGATAACGGAAAAAGGTTTAGGAGAAATAACAAAAACGAAGGAGAGGAGATTGTAGAGAGCCATCATCGCCTACGTCCTGAAGGGACACGGCACATAGAAGAAGTAGCGTTCTTCTGAAACTTAAGGTGAGGATCAGTACAAATATCTTCTATGCGCAGTGTCCCTTAAGGACATGGTCAATCATAACACTTCAAAGCTTCCTGAATTTTGACTTTTAACTATCTCTCTTAGTCTCTATTCTGCCAACCATTAAAACTGTCTTGTTATTTAGGTTATTCGCGGCTTTCCTGTACCCCCCTCTATTACCGTGGATTTGTCCTGAGAGGACAGCACCCTAGGACCCAGAATCAGATTATCCTTCAGGATAGTATCGGCTGCAGCCTAGGACCCAGAACTAGATTATCCTTCAGGATAGTATCGGCTGCAGCCTAGGGCCCAGGACCAGATTATCCTTCAGGGTATCCTGCAGGGGACCCAGAACTTATCCTTCAGGATAGTATCGGCTGCAACCTAGGGCCCAGGGGCGGATTATCCTTCAGGGTAGTATCGGCTGCAACCTAGGGCCCAAGACCTGATTAACCTTCAGGATAGTATTGACTACAGCTAAGGGCCGAGGGCTGGATTATTCTTTAGGCTAGTATCGGTTGCAGCCTAGGGCCAGATTATCCTTTAGATTAGTATAGGTTGCAGCCTAGGGCCGAGGGCCGGATTATCCTTTAGATTAGTATAGTTTGGGCAGGGTACCGGATTATCCTTTTAGGCAGCTTATGGCCCAGGGCCGGATTATCCTTTAGGCTAGTATAGGTTGCAGCCTAGGGTCCAAGGTCGGATTATACTTTAGGTTAGTATAGGTAGCAGCCTAGTGCCGAGGGCCGGATTATCCTTTTGACTAGTATAGTTTGCAGCCTAGGTCTCTTCAAGCTTTTGAAATACCTTCTAAACAGGTTCCTAAACTTAAATGATATTAATATAGCAAACTCATATTGGACAAAGTATCTATAAACTAAAACAAAATGTTTTTTTATCCTCTGCCAGCCGCAATGATGGAGAAAGCATTACCTCGCACCATCGCGTATGAGACACGCTACAAGGTCCACTCAGTTTCGCGAGGCTCGTCCCTTAATCGAGACACAATCCCGTCACCCTCCGAAGGATTCCCAACTCATATTTATTTTGATTGTTTTATTATAGGGCTGGTTATAAAAATAATCTGCTTTTTTTTTTTTTTTTTTTTTTTTTTTTTTTACAGCAGTTGTATTGAAATTTGTGCTAATTTGTTTTGCAATAAATAGTAAAATAACGGTACTTCTTAAAGAATATTTTTATTGACACACGAATAATAAGTTTATTTCAAGCTATGTAAATATTGCTAAATATATCGCAAGTAAAAAAACATTCTAGACGGATGGCTCTGTCTGATTTCATTAGCCTTTTGGGGGTCTAAAAGGTCATAATCCGGCCCTGCTTGTGGGTGTTAAAGATTGTTACCTAGTGGTAGAATACTGTTTAGTGATGTCGTCCGTCAGACCATGTTCTATGACCTATTTTCCTGAAATTGTGACCTTGTGCCAGGATTAGACATTCAGAGAAAATCCCAAAAGGTCACGCGTAACAAGAAAATTACAAACTACTTTTCGTACAGATCTGCGCTTTTGTAAGATTATCTTAAAGTTGTGTAGACCTATACGCATGCGCATGTTATAATCTTGTCCATGATATTACAATCGACTTTTTGGGGTTTCATATTTCGAAGTATTTGCTTTGAGATCACATTTTTTTTTTATGTTCAAATGGTAAAAACGAAAATAATTTTCGTATCACGTTTAAGAAGCCTTTTAACTATAGGTTTAATGCTTTTGAGCTTTAAAAAAAATAGGCAAACAAAAAAAAGCTAATTTGAAATGTCGACCTCTCGCTCATTTACATGACGTATATCACAATCAATTATAGATTAGCGAAATTTGGATACACGACATTTTAAATATTTTTTTTTTCAATTATCTATTCTGCATGTGTACTATCTTTTGCTATTTATTTTAATTACTTAATTTATTTTTTTAAAACCCCATGATAGTAGTTTTACATGGCCAAACGTTTAAAAGCAGCTTTTTTAATGAAAAGATTATAACATTATTTCAGCGAAGATAAAGGTTGAGAAGAGAAGAAAAACGCCTGGGAATGAAAAATGTAAATTTTATAAAAATACATGCCTTTGTAAAATGTCAAACTTAGAGTTTGCTTAGTCTGATAAAAATTCACACTGCAGGGAGTCGTTCAGTGACGATCGAACTCGTTAGCAATTGTTCGCATGATTACCTCTTTAACCATAGCTCAACCGTATGGTGTTTTTTCTAAGCATAGCTTAGATGTGGCACAAGGCCGAAAGTATGGGAGCACTTACTGTTCAGTTATCACTAATATAGCGAGACAAGCTTGTTAAGCTTTGCATCACGTCGAGGTGGAGAAATAATTTCCTAAGCGACGCTTACATAAGTCACACGGGCGAGTGTGAGGCACCCAGTGAGGATCGAACTCAATATTCAGTCGTCATTGATATAGCGAGACAAGCTTGCTAACCATTATACCACGTCGAAGTGCCCTAAAGATTTTCTAAACGTACCTTAGATGTGAGAGTACTCAGTGAGGATCGAACTCACTACCCAGTCGTAATTTGTTCTGGCAAGACAACCATTACATCACGTCGAGATGACCAAATGATTTTCTAAGCGTAGCTTACATAGGGCACACCAAAAGTGTGGGGCACCTAGTGAGGATCGAACTCAATATTCAGTTGTAAATGATCTAGCGAGACAAGCTTGCTAACCATTACACTACGTCGAGGTGTCGAAGCTCGCAACTGTATGCGTTTGTACTTCTTTCTATATTATTTACTTATTAGGTCGAGGTAAATGTTTCCAGCATTTAATTAGATGTGCCAGCAGTGCAACAGTTATTTTTTAACAACTGCTTACTTTTTAAAAAATTTTACTTTTTAACTTGATAAGATCCAAAGAAGAATCAGCAATATTAATGGCCCTAATCTGGCGTCTCGGCTTCAGTCACTTTTCCCACCGGCGTAAAATCGCCTCCCTGTGCCTTTTCTAGAAATACTTTCATGGCAACTGTTCAAATGAACTCTTCTCTATGGTAAATAGATTTTAGGAATTTAAGCGCAGTACTTGACTGGCAATGAGGGCTCACTAATTTACAGTTAAGTTGCCTTGATGTAATCGTAAGTTCTGTGCTAACAGCTGCTTGTATCGCACTTCTCTCTTGTGGAACTCCCTTCCGGCTCCATGCTTTCCAGTCAACTTTAATCTGCAAAAAATTAAATGCAATGTCAATCGCTATCTACTGTCCTCCTTATTACTCTTCTTTTGTTCGCACTCCTTAGCAATGTTTCTGTTTTCTAATTATTCCACATCCACTGCCTCCCTTGTGTCTTAGTGAATTTACTGCCTTGCTTGGAGTGAACACTATTAAAAAAAAAAAAAATACTCCCCCCCCCACACACACACTTGACACCTGTACTTAAAATCAAAAAGAAACAGATGAAATTTCTGGGACACATTGTGAGATAAGAATGCTTGGTAAACTTAATATTCATACTTAAGGAAGGAGACGCAGTGAAACAAGGTGTAAGCTACCTAATGATTGCCCGATTTGTTTTTTACGGTTTACCATCTTTTTGAGGGTTATTTACACTTTCGGACTTTTGTCTCTGTCTTTACTCTCAAATTCACGATGTTTCGGCGTTTTGTACGCTCTAGCCTTCTTCAGATGATATTTGTTGGAATTTCGAACCGAACCCTTAATTTAGTTCACTGGGAGATTGTTCAAATATCACTTGAAGAAGACCGGAGTATACAACGGCCGAAACGTCATGAATGTGACAGTAAAATTCAGAACAACAATGTAAAAAATTAGTGTATGTCATATCAGAAATATAGACTTTTGCGGGTTATTTAAAGCCAGAAAATAGTTTTGGGCTAATAAGCTTTTCTGGAGATGATAATGATTTATTGATACAAGTTCTGCTAAGTAACTCATAGCTGGGGGTGAAGAACGGTATTTGCGCTTAAGTGAATACAAAAAACCCGACTGGAATTGGAACTTGGCTCTCCGATTTCCAATTTTGTGCCGTTATCCATTACACCACCCGCACATCCACGCATACTGCGCTATCTAATGACTTTGAATGATTGACAGAGCGGAAAGAAAAAGAGTCAAATTTTGCTTGGCGTGACAAACGAAAGGAAGTTGTGGAGAGTTATGTTCGTCAATGTTCTGAAGAGACACTTTTTTTAAGCCTCCTTTACAAAGAACTGTTGACTTCTTTAGTATTTCTCACTTTACAAAAGATCAGAATTCTTTCTTTTTTTTTTTTTTTTTTTTTTTAAACTTTCAGGTAATTGTTTTTGGTCAGCTTTTCAAATAACCAACGCTTTTACAAAACTGTTTTTACACCCTACACACATTTTAAAAAAATGTTTGGATTTTATATTCCCTCACTTAAACTAATATTCAAATCTGTGTTCTCTCTGGTTATTAGTTCGATTTTTGGTAATAGTCTTTTCAGTTAAGTCGTCTCCGCCATTTTCATTCACTCCTCTCTTTACTCCCCTTCTTTCTTTACTCTCCTTTTCTTTTTACTCTCCTTTTCTTTTTACTCTCCTTTTCTTTTTACTCTCCTTTTCTTTTTACTCTCCTTTTCTCTTTACTCTCCTTCTTTCTTTACTCCCCTTCTCTGTTTACTCTCCTTTTCTCATTATTCCCTTTTTCTTTACTCCACTTCTCTCTTTACTCCCCTTCTCTGTTTACTCTCCTTTTCTCCCCTTCTCTCTTTACTCCCCTTCTCTCTTTACTCACCTTCTCTCTTTACTCTCCTTTTCTCTTTATTTACCTTCTCTCTTTGCTCACATTTTCTCTTTACTCCCCTTCTTTCTTTATTCCTCTTCACGCTTTACTACCCTTCTTATCATTTTTTCCCTTTAATAATTCTTCATCTGGCTCTTTTTCGTTGCTTTTTCTTTCTTCTCATATTCTCACTCCACTTGTTTTTTTCTTTTGTGTTTTCTATCTCCCTCTCTTTTTTTCTTCTTCTCTCCTTTCTCACACTTTTCTCTCTCACTTAAGTTTCCATTTCTCTCTCCTCTTTCTATTTCATCTCCTTTTCTCTCTCTTTGTCTTGCCTTTTCCCATTTTTTCGATCTTCCTTTCTTTCCATTTATCTTTCTTTCTTTCCTCCTCCAACTCCCACGTCTATCTTTCTCTCCCTCCTCCTTCTGTCTCCCTCTCTTTTTGACTTTTTTTAATTATCTCACTCTTCTTTCTTTCACTTTTTCTTGCTTCCTCCTGCCATTCCAGTTTCCATCTCTCTCAGTCTTTTGTCGTCTGTCTCCATTCGCTTTCCTCTCTCTTTGTCTAGCTTTTTTCCTTTTTTTAGTCCCCCCTCTCTCTCTCTCTTTTCCCGCTTTCTTTCTTCCTCATTTAATTCCTTCCCATTTTTCTTTCCTCCTCCCATTCCCGTTTCCATCTCTATGTATATATCTTCACTCAGCCTCCATTTCTCTCCCTTTCTCTTTCGATTTCGTCTGCATATTGATTTTCTTCACTCCAGTCTTTAACAGCAAAAATGGTTCACTCGTATCTACTTACCAAGGCTATGGCTACTGCAGTAGTTGCTAG